TCCATGATCACTTAATAGAAGGAGAAATGTTGCAGCAAGAATGCTTTAAGCTAGAGTAGAGGGGGAACAGGGAGGGGCATGAGCGGCTGAAGGGACTCCTGGGACCTCTTTCTTTCTAAGCCTTTACAAAATGGATCCTTCCCTCTGCGTCGAGGACCTCCCTCAGCCACAGTGGCGGGTGGGGTAGGATGGCCTATAGGGGCTTTGGGCCTGTTTCCATCTGAGACACAGGCTGCCCTTCTGTGGGATCTGGGAGAGGGAGAGTCCCAGCAGGCAGGGTCAGGTGCTCCAGCCCCTTTAGGGGGCCACACAGAGCCAAGCTGGAGTGAGGAGCGGAGGGGGAGTTCTGGGAGCATGACCAGAAGTCAGGTGGTCCTCAATGTCCCCCCCAACTTTGACAGATTAAAACTCTGACTGCTCCAGCTCAGCTCCAGCATGGCTGGTGGTAATGGGGACAGGGTGGTGGTGTGAAGGCCAGGCCAGGCCTGGAAGGAGAATTGTTTCTTTGGCTCGTTCACCAGGGAAGGCCCTGCCTTCCGTTGGGGGCTGAGGACTCTCTGGAGCAGTGGTCTTAACATTCCTAATGCCGTGACCCTTTAATACAGTTCCTCATGTGGTGGTGACCCCCAACTATAAAATTATTTTCATTGCTACTTCATCACTGTAATTTTGCTACTGTTATGAATCAGGTGCCCCCTGTGAAAGGGTTGTTTGACCCTCAAAGGGGTCGCGACCCACAGGTTGAGAACCGCTGCTCTAGACAGTCTACCCTCTACCAGGTTTTTGGAGGGAGCAGCCCCCAGGGGAGAGAGAGCACACGGGCCCAGCTTAGGGGACCAAAAGACCAGCCAAGCAGCACGAGTGGAGAATCTACTGAACATGTTGAATTAAAGAAACATGGCCTCTTCTGTGTGTCTGAGGGAGGGTGTTTGGGTGCTTGGAGAACAGCACCCAGCCTGGCTGGAAAGAGAGGCCTCTTTTCAGCAGAGCTCCTGGGAGCTCCCTCCTCTGGCCTGCCCCAGGTCTTGGCGTTTACACCAAATTCAAACCATTTATTTACCTGTCCAGTTTCCCACTGGACTGTGAGCTCCCCAATGGCAGAACTTGGTACCGATGCCCAGTAGGCATGTGTGAATGAATGAACAATTAGCAGCCGGGGATCTGAGCTGAGGTCGTCCGAGTGAGGCAGCAGTGGGTAGGACAGGGCTGCAGAGGAGGGAGCCGTGCCTGTGGACTCAGGGAAAGCCTAGGGGGTGGGGGCATACATTAGCTTCCGCTTTCCATTTGCTTGCAGAAGCCCTGGTGGCGTAGTTCGTGGGTTATGCATCGAGGTTAGAGATTCAAAACTAGCAGCCGCTCCACCGAAGAAAGATGAGGCTTTCGACTCCCCTGAAGTCTTGGAAATCCACAGGGTCCTACCCCACCTCTGAGAGTGGCGGAGAGTCAGAATTGACTGGGTAGCGCAGTCCTTAGAGTCTGTTACCTTTGTCTTCAGGATAATCACAGTGGAATTCTCGGCACCTATTGTTCTCCCCTCCTACTCTCTACCTGCCTCGGGCAGCTCCCACAGCCGAGAGAGAGCCCGCACACTTCACGCTGGCAGCCGGGCTGCCCAGAGTAGTTACACCATGGGAACTGGCAGCATTACAAACTCGTTCTTTTTCTCCCCGGAAGAGTCAGTTTATAAACTTTGCCAGCACACCACGGCAATCCACTCATTCTTCGATCACCTTCCTTTGGTTCCTCCACTCTGTCCCGCACGTAACCTTCCTGCTTCCCCCTCCTTTCCTTCCTTTTTATCTGATTATTCAACTATCTGCATATCCATCTATCATCCATCCATCCATCCATCCAGTATCCCTATTTATTAGCCCTCCATATACGCCTGTTCTGCTCTTACAGTCACCTATCCTTTCTTCAGTCCATTCCCCAGTGTGTTCTGAGCAAAGCCATGCCGGCCTATTCCTAAGATGCAGAATCTTTCTTGAGAATCTGGTAAGGTGGATGTTGAAAGGACTAGCAGAGGCCTCCCAGTGCAGCAGCCCAGGGTCAGGGAGCACTAATATTGGACCCATTGGGTTCTCCTCTTCTGTCCCTTCTTGTCCTCTCTTCTCTGCTCCACCCACTCCTGGCTCCATCCCCCTCCCCCTTTCGCCTCCCCACCCCCAGTCTGTTCTCACATGCTGTGACCTATCTGGGGAAGAGGGTTGGGGTGTCCTCCAGCAGACCAGACCAGACCAATACTTCCTTCTCTCTACCTCTCCTTTCAGGCCTGGCTTTTTGAGAGTGGGTTTTGTGTCCCAGAACTTTCCCTGAGCTCTTGGCCAACTCACCAGCAAGTTCAAACAGGAGGGGGCTCCCGTAGGGCCTGAGAACAGAGCTGTCACGTAAGAGGGGACTCGCATCATGAAGCCAGCACTCCCTACCCAAACACCACCCCCACAAACCTCCTCTTAAAACTTCTGGCTGCTTTGTGAACCATTCTTGGCTTTGTCTTTGTTCCAAGGCCTGTTATTGCAAAGGATTAGCTGTCCAGCCCAGTGAGCCAGAGGGGCAGGGCTCTCAGCGCTTGGCCTGGATTTAAAGGGAAGAAAGAGAAACCCACTGCCTCCACACAGCCTAGAACCTTGCACACCAGCCACACTCACTCACAGCTCGACCCTGCCCAGCCCAGCTGGGGGGAGAATAGCCCTATCACTTGGAGAGAGGTTGAGGGGCAGGTGTGGGCTTTGGGGACTCTGGCAGTGTGTGGCGGCCCAGCTGGCATGGTCTGGCAAGTCCTGTGAGGACTGTCCCATGTTTCTGCAGCAGGTTGGAGAGAGGACTGTAGCAGTTTTTGTCTGCTTCTTTCCCTGAGTTTTATATTACACAGCGTCATAGCTGAGGTGTCACTTCTGAGATTTTCTGAGTCCACATGTCTAGCTTCTTTTGGGGGGTTACTACCTGTGGTCCAGGAAGAACATCAGTGGTTCGACCCGAGAGACTCAGTTCACTTCTTGGCCAACATGCAGCCACCCCCTGTTCATGGAGGACTGTGAGTTGCTATGATGCCAAACAGGTTTCAGTGGCAATTCTAGGCTAAGAAGACTAGGAAGCAAGGTCTGGCAGTGTATTTCTGAAACTTAGCCAGGGAAACTCCATTCATGACAATGGGCTGTTCATAGCCATCTGAGTAGCATTTTGCTCCAAAATGCATGGGTTCTCCTTGAGTCAGGGGTCTACTTGCTGGCATATAACCACCACCGCTACCACCACCATCACCACCATCATGACCACCACCATGACCACCATCACCACACCATGACCACCATCACCATACCATGACCACCATGACAA